ACCAGCTCAATAATGTTCTTTGAGGATGAATTTTTATAGATTGAACAGCAGCAAGTAATTTACATAGAGCGATGGGACTGGCTAACAATGCCTGCTATTCTAGAAAAGAACCACTCGGCTGCCGTGTTTTCACCCAACTTTAGGACACCAAGGCACAAGCACAGACATTTAATGTATCTGCTTGGAAGACTTACAGAAACCATGTAGAGTTAGTCATACATGCTGATGGTTACAACCATTTTGAATCATCTTTAAAAGTTGACAACGCTGGTTTTTGCTCCCCCACCCCACCCCGTTCCTTATTGCTCAAGTCTGTGTATACTGTGCTAGTTCTAACCAAGAAGCTAACCAAACTGAAAGAAATCCAGCCCTCGAAGTCTGCAGTTACTAATGTGGTGTGACACTTGGGGGGTTTTGGAAATGGCTGCAGCCTCCGTAGCCCACTAGAAGCAGGGCCCCACCCTTGTGGTAAATTGAACAATAAAAGTTTAATGCTCTGGCTACTTGCCAGGGATTAAATTAGTGGCAAGAGAAACTGGAAGCTTGGCCCCAACAAAGGGAACCCTGAGGGGTCCTGTTATAACTGGGAGACAGACAGGCCGTCCTGTATGCGTGGTGGCCTAAAAACTTCTGTCTCCTGATGTCCTCCTAATACCCAACCTCATTCCTTTTCAAACTGGTACAAGTCTAGGCTGAGAAAGTATTTACCTAGAAAGAGGACTTAAAAAAAGGCGGGGGGGCTCCCCTCAAAGGAGGTGAAGACAAGTGTCTTGGAGGGGCTCTCTGGGAGGCTTGTGGACACCCTTCTGACATTTGACAATGACCTTTTTCCTTTCTCTCTTCAGTCTAAATCCAGAACAATGTCTCAGAAGGTGAGGTGTGGGGAAGCGGCACTGCCTCTCTGAAGACAGGAGGAAAAACTCGAGTGACTGCAGACTCCTCCGAGGCTAATACTTCCGGGTTCCAGCGGGACTCCCAAGGTCAAACTGACCGTGGAATGATGGAATGAATGTCAGTCACTGCGCTCACCCGGGCGGAGATGCCCAGTGAGCCAGCCAGAGACTAACCTGCCACATGGCAAGAGGCTGGAGGAGATCCCACCTGGAGACCTGGGTAGGTGGTTTTCTAAGGAACACATTTACTTGTTCTTACACTGTTCTTATTTCAAAAGGCGAAAAACTCAGGCAAAAGCTGCAGCTCCAAACTTCCGGCCACCCTCAAGTGTTTTGCATTAACTGTTCCACAGCACAAACACAATCAACTTGGTATGTTAGGGTTTCATTGTTTTGCAAAACAGTCTTAATTAAAACAAAATAATCAGCCATGCTCAGCACACTGTTGTTTTTTAAAGGCGACTTTTAAACCGGTGCTAGAACTGTGGAAGTAAAAATCAACTGCTGAGGGAAAGGAACAGGTTTTTTTTTTTTTTTTTCCTGGCTGCTCTTCTGTCTCAGGGCTGGTGCCACCTGGTGCCTGGGCTTTCCTGAGAAACGAATCTCTCAACAGTTTGTTCAACAACATCTGCAGGCATCGTTGAACAAACCATGGACCAGTTCCAAGACAGGCACTATTTTCTTTATGCAGTGCACACTGAAACCATGTGGAACTTCTCTTTAAAGCTTTTTTTTTTTTTTAAAGTCTTTTTAAAGATCCAAAATGTATGTGCAGGAACTATATTACTCTATATGTATCTTAAAAATTAGTTCACAGTAAAAGGTTTCAACTCATTCACCAAAGTCGAGTCTCCCTGTCACCTTTCCAGACCAGTGGACACTAAAACAAATTCAATACACACGGACCTAGAGCAGAGGTTGGTCAAGTACAGCCTATGGGCCAAATCTGTTTTTGCACACCTGAGAGATAAGAATGGTTCTTAGATTTTTGAATGGTTGGGAAAAAAAAAACAAAATAAGGATAATTTTGTGACGTGCAAATTATATAAGATTCAAATTTCAGTGTCCATAAATGACGTTTCATTGGAACACGGCCACACTCTGCGTTCACTTTTTGTCGAGAGCAGCTTTTGTGCTACAACGACAAAGTTGAGTAATTAAAACAGAGAAGGTGTGTGGTCCTCAAAACCCAAATAATGTACTATCTGAGCCTTTACAGAAAAGTTTGCCAACCCCTGACCTCGAACCTCAGACAGCATTACGGGCTCAAAACTCCTAAACCTAAAATGGGACCTTGCCCCTCACCAAAACTCTTTAATCTGTACATTGTGAAGTTATTCAGGTAACATTTTATCTTAAACATTTACTGCTATGCATCTAACTATGCTGAGCCGTGAAAGTGTACCGACAGCTAGCTACCTAAAGTGGGGCACTCACTAACCGGCTGCTAACTAGTAGTGAAACTTAAATGGAACTCTTTCCTTCTTTTCGATTTATGAAAAGGGCTCACTGCCTATCTCAAACATTTAAATAGTTTTGTCTAGAAGCCAAAACAAATTGTCACAAAAGGATCAGAGTTCTTTTGATACCAAGTCAAAACTGTTTCTCAAATAAGTTATAAAAAAACCCCTTTTACCTAAATCACAATAAAAAATGTCAATAATTAAAAAAAGCTATAAGTAACCAGTATACATGTTGGTTCACTCTCCTCAGCCTCTACTTTGCAAACAGGTAGAGTATTAGCATTCATGGAGTCCCCAGGAGTCTCTGTAAGAGTTTGAAGTTCTCACCGCTAACTGAACTCATAGGTTTTATGACCAGGCATGCTATAGGATAATGGGAGGAATTCCAGAAGACAGCTTGGAAGAGATCTGAGTGTCAGCTATCAAAGGCAGGTCACAGAAAATGTAACCTGAGTCAAGACGCCCCACTGATGCACACCTGATGACTCTCAAACGTAGTGAAACATCCAAGCGGAGAACACAAGTGGCCAAAGCTCACCTGTGTCCCTGCTCTTCCTACCTCTCTTTCCCGCGCAGGTCAGTAAATTGCAGAGGGAACACACCGGGGAGAGTCCGCCAACCCCAGGGCCCTGGCCACCTCCCTCCTTGAAAGGGAGTCTAGGTAATGCCAGTAACCTCTGTCTTTCTTCTTATCAGTCATGGAGGAAGGGAGAGAATCTCAAATGAAGAATGAAGTGAGGAAGGGAGATCATTTGGGGTGGGTGACATACTGTAATTAGAAGGGACATTGACGGGGAAAGAGCTAACTGTTTTTCTAAAGTCAGCATTCAAAAATGCAAACCACCAGTAATTTAAATATTACAAAACTGTGCAGAATATAAGTATCGAAATAATTTTTTCCATCCGCAAAATTTTTGAGAAAATTATAGTATCAAAAAATATAAAATGGTGAGCTTGGCATCTCCTCAGAGTAAAACGTGTTTTTTATTGGAAAGGATTTTAAAAATTAGTGGGTAGGCTCTAGACAGGATGTGATGCTGAAGACCATGTGGTATCTCCCTAAAACTCCTTCTGGAACTAGGGAGAAAAAAAGTCACAGAAGCACCAACGGACCAAGATGGGAGGAAACTTAGCTGGCGAGGCTCGCTGAATTAAGAACTCGGGCCTCTTTTCACAAATCATTTCACAGCCGAGTCCCTGGGCGGATCAAACGGTTAAGCCCTCAAGCCAGCCTAAAGGTTGGCTGTTCAAACTCATCCAGGGGTGCCTCGGGAGACAGGCCTGGCAGTCTGCTTCGGAAAGGTCACTGTCTCAAAAGCTCTATGGAGAGTTCTGTGCGCACACGAGGTCACCACGAGTTGAAGTCCACTCAACAATAAGAATAATCATAAAGTCATAAATAAAAGCACACCAAAGCTTGGGGTTCAAACTAGGTAAGAGCTGCTGAGTCTGTCTGTTCCTAGTGAAGCAAAGGTGCGTGAGGAGAGGGTGCCACCCACCTTTTAACAAGCCTAAGCGCAGAGCAGGCTTACTTACTGCTTTTCAGTGATACTACTCTGCCCTTTGTTGAAGGGGAACCAGTTTATTCCCACCCATACCTCTCTCTCTCTCTCTCTCTCTCTCTCTCTGTAGAGGATATTAAATCCTGACCACACAGATGGCAAAGTGGAGCTAAGGGGTTACTAGGTTACAGTTATGTTGACATATCCTGGCTCTCAGAATGTCCCTCCCTCACTCCTCACACACAGCAAAAAGCAGAAGTGATCAAAATGTATGAAGTCCCAAAGATGCCCGGCGATCACTCAGAAACCATTTACTGGGTGGACAGCATTCGGAGACCCCCACCCCCACCCCATGCGCTGATCTAAAGCCAAGCTTTAAGCATATAGCATTGCCAGGGCAAATCGGGTATCTAGCACTTGGTGAACTGTGCAGCACTATAAAAAGTATTATCAAAAGATGTTTATTGAGTGCATTACCTTAAGTCTGTCATTTAAGTCCTCAAGAGTCCCTGCAAGGAAGGCATCATTATCACCCCCTCACCTCCTTTATAGAGGAGAAAACTGAAGCTCAGAGAGCTGAAGGCATGGCCCAAGGTCACACAGTAAGTGACAACACCAAGTCCCAGCGTTCCCACTAATCCACACTGATGAGTAAACAAAGCAACTCTGGGTTTTCTTTCGCCAGCAAACTCCTGTCTTTCTAACATCATACACAGTCTGCAAATTTGGGTGGAGAACCCAGAGGCCGGTTTTGCCACTAGGGTTTTCCTACTAAGACAGACTGGTAATGAAAACCCTTTTGCAAATGCCCAATGCTCAACACCCAAACAACCTGCAGAGGAACAGTAACTGGGCCAGACTACGCCCTCCTGTCTACTCTTCAACTGGGCAAAGATTCCTCTGCAAGGAAGGGTGTGTGTGGAACCTATGCGAAGTTCCAGCTTCCATGCTGGGCAGGGCCCCACCACAAGAAGACCTGGCCTTGGCTTTGACCTGGACAGCCGTCGGGTTGCCCTGTTAGAAGTGTGGGGTTACTTGGGATGAGGGCTCAGCGTGGCACCCTCAGGACGAGCACCCTGAGACCAGTCGGGGGAAAGTTTCCCAGCGTCCCTTCCTTTCCCCTGTCCTTGCGGTGGCATCACCTGAGTCACAGGGAAGTTCACAGCGGCCCGGAGGGGAGGGAGGGGGCGTCTCGGCAGGGTGCAGCGGGCGGTCCCGGACCCCGGACCTGTCTCTTGCAGGGCCGGCAGGTTGGCCCGGCTCCTGCGAGGCAGAGGTCAGGGTCCGGCGGCGCGGGCCCTGCCGACACCAGCAGAGGGGCGCCACTCCTCCTGCCTCCGCACCCGCTCCTGCGCTGGGGGGCGCCGGGGTGCTCCCAGTGCGGCCGAATGGCGAGGGCTGGGAGCGCGGGGGTGTCGCTGAGGGGTGCCGCTGAGGCAGGGACCGTCCCCGACCGAGGGGGCGTCGCTGAAGGACTTGCAGAGGTCCTGAAGCAGGGGGAGGAGACGGCCGGGCCCCGGGGTATCGCTGAAGGGCTTGAGAATGGGGTGCCAAGTCCTGAGACGGGGTCCTGGCGTCAATGAGGGGCTTGGGGGACCGATCCCGGGACATACTGAAGAGTGGGCGTCCTGACCCGAGAGGCGTCGCGGAGGGGCTTGGGGAAGGGTCCCAGACTTGGGGGGAGCCCCTCTGCGGGCTCCGCGCCGGAGGGCGCCGGAGGTCTCTCACTCACCGGGTCCAGGCGCGGGCCGGGCAGCCAACGTGAGCGCGGCAGCGGAGAGCAGGGCGAGGCGGGCAGCGGGCGGCGCCATGGGCCGTCAGTGCGGGGCCCCGGGGCGCGGCCCGGGGG